AAGGGGCGGCTGGCTGGAGTGGGAGTTGAGTGGGGGGCAGGTGGAGGTCGGGGGGGAGGGGGCCCAGCGGGGAGGGTAGGTTGGTTGGAGGAGGCAGATGGAGCTGGGGGGCAGGGTGGTTGAGTGGGGGGCAGGTGAAGCTGGCGGGGCAGGGAATGGGACACGGGCCGGGGGGCGCAGCCCGGTCTCCGTAAGGACAAAGCCGGAAGGTGTCTGTGACGGACCTGCTGGGGTCCGAGCAGATGGGGGCACGAGGGGGGTGTTTGGCAAGTGGAATCAGTTTTTATTAGCAGGTAACAAACCCACAGCAGAGCCCCCAGGCGAACCCAGCCCCCCGCCACTCCCCTGCTCCCACCCGGGACTGTAACAAACGGGATGTGTCCTCTTAACGCCCCCCTGTGGCTCCTCCCAGGCCAGCTGAGTTCCTTGGCAACTCCCCGGATGCCTGGGTCCCTTCCTCCCAGACCGGCCGAGTGGTCTGTATCCCTGTCGCTGCCGGGCTTCGGACAAAGCCAAATAAGAACCCAGGAGTCCTGGCTCCTCCCCTGCCCTTGTTCCAAGCCACTAGACCCCACTCAGAACTGAAGAGAGAACCCAGGAGTCCGGGCTCCCAGTCGCCCATCCCCTGGGCATGTTTGTTCACTGTGCCCCATTCGCCACCTTCACAAAGTTTTTGGGCTGGAATTTCCTTCGTTTTTTTTGGGGGGGGGGGTTGGTTCGGTTCAGGCTATCCTCGGGGGTGCCCCCTGGTGGTCAGGGTGGAGTCCTGCACCCGCCCCAATGATGAGACCCCAAAATCACAGCCCTGGGATTTTCCCGGGCACCTGGGTCCCTTCTGGCCAGGTCCCTCTGCAGCTCCCTTCTGCAGGTCCCCTGGGATCCGTCCGGCCGAGTCCCTCTGCAGCTCCCCAGATGCCTGGGTCCCTTCTGGCCTGGTCCCTCTGCAGCTCCCCGGGTCCCTTCCGGATGATTCCCTCTGCAGCTCCCCGGATGCCTGGGTCCCTTCTGGCCTGGTCCCTCTGCAGCTCCCCGGGTCCCTTCTGGATGATTCCCTCTGCAGCTCCCTGGACGCTTGGGTTCCTTCTGGCCGAGTCCCTCTGCAGCTCCCCGGATGCCTGGGTCCCTTCTGGACGATTCCCTCTGCAGCTCCCCGGATGCCTGGGTCCCTTCCGGATGATTCCCTCTGCAGCTTCTCGGACGCCTGGGTCCCTTTTCTAGCCGAGTCCCTCTGCAGCTCCCCGGACGCCTGGGTCCCTTCCTCTCCTGGGGGCGGGGGGGTGGCCGGCCCTCTACAGGCGGACCAGGCCCAGGAACGTCCCATGCGGGCTGAGATCTAGTGATGCGTTGGCCCGGGGCACCCGGAGACTCAGCTGGTCCCCACGCTGCAGCTGGAAAACGCCTGAGGGGGGACACACATCATCATGGGCGGGGGCCTGGACAGCTCCCTGCTGCCCCCCCCTTCCCTGTAACTGCCCCCCCCAGTGGCTGCAAATTCCTGCCCCCGGGATGGTCTCCCCCCGAGTAGCTATAACATTTCCCCCCCCCCC